GGAGAAGGACGAATTATGCCGCTGAAGACTGCGCTGGCCTGTGAAGTGATAAGTGCTGGAGGTATGGAAGAATCGACTGCATGGGACGAAGATCATGGACTACCTTGGAAGCGTCCGCGATGAGCTGAAGTCGCTCTGGATAACGGTTAAGCGGCTTCAAAATGAAGGATTCTCTGTACCAAGGAGCCTAGATGACAGCACCAACGCCGCACTTGGTTTCCTTGAAGATTCGCATGCGCGGATGCGAGATGCCAAGGAGGATTTGCAGGAACGAGTGAATTGGCTGGAAGGAATCGAAGAACGGCGAAATTGCGTGGTTGTTGAGGATAAACCAAAGCAACCAACGCCGCTCATGGACAATGTAGAACGCTGTATGAAGGGAATGCACAGCGAAAAGCCATTTGAGATGTGCAAGGCGAACAATGACGACCTGCGAGACGATCTCAGGAGCATTCACGACCAGTTAAAGTCGCTCTGGAACGTCTTCAGACGACTGGAGAGCGGTAAAATGGACGCACAGATGGCCGTTGATGCAGAATCAACAGCGGCCTTAGGATATCTCGAAGATTCCCACTCCAGGCTTCAGGATGTGGTCGATGACCTGCGCAAGGAAGTCGACAAGCTTGAGATGTTGGACAAACATGAAGGCGAGCGCAGCACTATCTCCGATAGCCAGGCCAAGCAAATGGCGCAACGAATCAATAATCTTGAGCGCTGGTTTGGGGCGCTGGCCAAAACACTGAAGAAACAAGGACTACCGGTCCGACAAGACTTTAATGAGGAGACAAGGGGCGGCAATTTGCAGCGGTCAAGGCCACAAACATCAGAGAATGAAGGGCCGAGAGAGGCGAGTCAGCTGCTGGTGGATGTTGAAGATACACTGTTGATGAATTGGTTACGAGAAGAGTGGTTTGGTGGCCGGAAAGAGGCAACAGACCATCCCCGAGCATTTACACCATTGCTGACGAAGAAGCAACGACGAGCTCTTGAGCGTGCGGAGCATGTGAAGTCGAAATCTATGCACAATGGTCCCAAAACACGGCGAGGCAAACGAAAACAAATAACTCACCAGGCAAAACCGGAGGATTACGGATCCACACCGATGGAGACTTGCTAGGCATCGACTCGCACAGCTTCAGTGAAAGAGATGACAAGTCGAAGGATATGTTGGTTGACAAGACCAGAAGAATAGTGCTGGGGAGTCGAATTTGGAGTGTGAGAGATGCCACGTCACAAGCAAGCCATCCGCGAAGCAGACATTGAACTCAGGTTTTGGACTGAGCTTTGTGTGTCAGAAGGTCCAGGAAGATTGGAAGGATGGTGGGAGCTATGCACCGGACATGATACTCAATGTGGTGGAGAAGAGAAGATGTGCAAATCCGCTGAGTCACCGGTGATCCGACATTTTGGTGATAATCAGAAGGATATGATTCGGCTGAGTGAGGACACTCAGATTTCAAAAAGGGGGAGATGACGAAGCGGGACACGCGTTCACACATGGAATTGTGCTGAAAAGGCCTCAACAGACCCTATTCAGGCCGGATTATTGCACTGGGTTGAAGTCCGATGACCTGATCATCGGCCGATGATGGCCGATCACGGAGGAGTGATCCGAAACGCGACTGGGCGCGACTAGACACACTGGCAAGCACAGAGCGCCCTCAAACGCGAAGGAAAGAGGGACGAGCCCTCAAAAACAGGGTTCTGGGGTGCAAACCCTCAAACACGAAGATGAAACAAGGTGGCTGCGGCAGGGCACGTTTCAGAAAGTGGAGGCACTGTTGGGCAGTGCGGACAACCCCAGATTCGAGGGTGCGGGGAGCGCTGCGGAGGCCGAGGACCCTGCTGATGTAAGCAAGGGGAAAAGGTATATAATTAGCAGCTTTTGTACCTAGAAGACAGTGAATCGTAGCCCCACCTTTGGGTTAGATTTGGCTCACCTCTCTGATGGCAACAACACGATAAGATAACGATAAGATAACGATAAGATAACGATTAGATAAGCGATCTCGGACCTTGGACTTGGCAACAAACGATATATTGGAACAACATATGAAGACAGAGACTTTCCGTCAACACTTGGACATACTGAACCTGTGGTCTATGTGATTAGATGAAGACTCCACTATGCTCAGATGCGCTTACCTTCATGGAACGTCGCCCTCTTTGGATTGAGCGACCCATGTTGGAGCTGTTTATGCCATTCTTGGTGTGGCAGTTGATGCTCTTGATGCTGGTGGTTTGGCTGTGCACAATAACAGAAAATGCAACAAAAACAAGAGAAAACATATCAAATATCAAAAACATATCAGATGTGACTGTGACTGTGACCACTACTGTTTTGGGTTTTAGTGTTGGTTTTGGGTTGTGTTCATTTTGGAGTGGTTTGTTGTTGGGAGTATGTTTGGCTACAAGAGGCATACTCTATGTGTCATACCTGCTCTCCTCTACATCCACACCCCCTTCCTCTCCACCCAACTCAACAACCCCACCACCACCACCTTCTTCATACCATCTACCATCAACATCATCATTGATCCCATCATTACCACAACCACACCTACACCCACACTTCTTATCCAACATTGTCATCACCCTCATGTTGCTCTTATGGGTTGCAGCATGGATATACTTTCCATGGAGCCCTGAACACATCAACCATGATTTGTGTGTTTTGTTTGTTTGTGGAGTTGTTTCCGCATTCAGCATTGCTCGCATTTCCTGCGTTTCAGCGTAGCAAATGGCGAAGAAGGGGAGATGACAGATGGGCTGTACACAGCTGTGCAGTCCGGTTGCGCTGATGTCGTCAGGCCATAGAATATGGGCATGGATCATAAAGCATACATGTCACACCTATTTAGTGCTGGCCAGAATTATATTATGCTTGATTAAATATTGAATATATTCAGAATATTATGAATATATTATGCCCTTCGTGGATCACTTGAATATGATTATGTTTGAATATATTATATTATATTATGACTATACTATATTATAGTCACAGAATATTCAACTATAGTAAGGTGGATGATTACAGCTATTTTCTCAGTCCATGTACTCAGTCATTGTACTAATCTTAGTCTAAGTTAGCCCTACTTCTGATAAATGTCACATATTATCTGTTATATATGGTGATTCATACATTACTCTTAGTAGGAACAGGTGTCAGGAGTGATCACTTTGGGTTGACCCTATTAAAGATAGTGTAGGACCTCTGATCAAGTGTCTACTGGCTAACCTAATACTAGTGGCAATGCCCCTGATTGTATTTTGAGAGTCCTATGTAACCCAGGCTGGAATTAGAGAGGCCCAAAAGGAAGTCGCCCTGACAATCCAGTATGTATTTTATGTTTTTGATTAGCAAATATGTCAAACATATCAAGAGATATGCATACTAGATTATAGTTGAATATATTCATAACATATTCATATTTTTGCAGCTGAATATGATTATATTATACTACAAATATATTATTGGGTTGGAGCTCTGAATATGATATGATTATAATATATTATGCCCATAAAATAATATAATCATATTTGGCCAGCACTACACCTATTTTGAGCATATATCTGACTACACTGGGCATATATTGAAGGCAAAAGAAAGTGTAATTGAAGTTACTACCAGATTTAGAAGGATGTCACACTCTGTCTGTTACATGTGCCCAAAATGGTATCTACAGTCAACTTGGGGTTTGAAGCATCATTGTAATATGTAGCTAGTGTAAATACATTTAAAGTCATGGATATCATCCTCAGAAACCTTGAACTTCACTGAAAAAATATTCTTTTGGTTCATAAACCCTAACTTTTGTCGCTGATGCCATTAATTAATTGATTTGTAAAGGTGTGGGGTTCCCGCACTCTCTACCTTAACAATGTTGCTCAAGTTTTTGTCAAACCCTGGGTTCAAAAACCCTTTTTCTTCGCCCTTTAAACCTTTTATTTTGGCCCTGGTTGATAAGATAAGACAAGGAGGAGATAAGATGGACGATAAGATGGTGATTGGATCATCAGATGTCGATGCTGATGTTGATTGACAGCGTGGAGTTGAGGCAAACAGCACGTAAAGGCATGGCTAAAGTATGACGTCATTGTCTCTCCTATTAGGCATGGTAAACACATGGTAGTAGTGTATAGAAGTAGAGTAGATTTCATCTTGTACCCCAGTCTTCGAATTGCATCATCTTTACCATATCTTTTCACAGTGCTTCTTGCTTGCCTTCACTGGCCAACTGGTATCCTCTGAATTGGTGTTGTTTGTGACAGTTTTTCTTCTGTACTCAAGTATAATAATAGTGTACATTGAAGAATATACTGACCCATTTCATTCAATTGGTCAGAGTCGTCACATCAGATTTTTTGGCCAAAACATTTTGGTGGGTCACAGGTCACACCCAAATTTTTTGGTCCCAAAGTGTCCCAATCAGGAAATCAGCAAGATTTTCAATTGAAATATTTCCCTAGCAAAAATCTTGAATTTTTTTTTTCTATTTTTTCTTGGAAAAAACTCGAAATTTATGTCCTAGTTTTCTTCTCTACATATAGTCTGACATTTTTTCTTAGTAATAATTAGGTAAAAAACTTCAAGTTTTTTTTCTGACATTTTTCAGGCAAAAGTTGCCAAAAAAAAGTTCAAATTTTGACTGACAAAAAATTTATGTAAAAAGTTTCAAATTTTCTTTTCACAGGAAATTGTGGAGAACGGCTCAGTGAGTGGTCCAGAGCTGGATTAGGACCAAATCCAAGCCTGTGCACACCGACCCCAACTTCCAAGACAGTTTACAAAACCGGTATGGGCGCCGAGTAGAGGGTAGAAGCAGGCGGAACAAGGTATCAACATTCGAAATACTTAAGTATCAGTACTCTAAGGGCATCACTGTGGAATATGAGCATGTGGATCTGCTGATTGTTATTATGAGCTAGTCAGGTGATGATTGATCTTCAAATTTGAAGTCCAAGGGTCACTTCCCGCCTCTTTCTCCAATACCGCCATGCCCCTCGCACGACTTTACCTTCCCCTCACCTTGCTCACTGCCGTAGGCGTTGTCGACGCCAGGGCATCAAACACGTCATCGCATTCCCACGCCGCTCTTCTCTCTTCCCGCGCCGTCACTCCGGTCGTGCGGGCAACGACGTCCTACGGCAACCTCGCCGACACTGGGTACAATCGAGATTCCTGCACGTCGACGGCGTGGTATGGGGACAACGTGTTGTGGACCTGCCGCGACACCCAGACACTCAGCACAGCGGGCGTCCCGGGCAATGGACTCGTCGTGAATACCGGAGCATGGAGCGGAAAGCCATCGGGGACATCAGCGGGGACGCTGACACTGCGGACCCCACAAGGGTATGGCCCGCTGTTCTACCCGCTGGAGGGCGATGAATGCCCGACGAATGGCGCCTGCAGCGACGGGACGAGGTGCGTGGTCATTACCTCTTTCCCTTTTCCGCTGCTGAGGAGATGCGAGATGGGTGGGCTGGCCAGACACGGGCCCGGCGGTCGTGTTCAGCTTCGACAATGATGGGTTCATCAAGAGACAACACCTCAGCGGACTCAGCCTCATCAACACGCCAGACACGACCCTCTACCATGTCTCGCAGAACCCTGTCAATACCAACGCCATGCCGCAGGCCACTGTCGACACGAGCAAGTTCTGGGCGTCGAATCAGGTGGGGTATGGAACGGCAGCGACGGTGCTGAACGGGTCCTATGTGCGTCATCTCATCTATTCCTCCGTTTGCCTGACGCAAATAAGGTTTATTTGTACGGCTCGACACCCAATGGTCAGCTCGCCGTGGCGCGCTCTGCGCTAACGGGCTTTCTTGGGGCATTGAACAGCAAGAGCACCTACCAATACTACGTCAATGGTGGATGGACTGCGTCGGCACCTACAACGTCGACGGCCGGGATTGCACTCGCCAACACGCGCGGAAACGTACAAGGGACGGTGTACTTTTCCGCCAAGTGGAACGTGTGTCAACAGGTGTTCCCGTTCGATTGCAACTTACAGGCTATAGAGCTTCGTCTGGATCGGCGGTGATGGTTTCCCCAACGCCAACTTCTACGTGTCCACTGCGCCCGCGCCGGAAGGCCCGTGGACGGTCCCGACGGTGCGAGACCCGTATCCGGTGTGGCTTGCATGCCCTGACCTCCACACAGCTATTCTACTCTGGCGCGGTTGGCACCGGCTCGCTGGCCGCGTACTCCGCCGTCGCGCACCCGGCGCTCACGGATGGGACGGGGAACTATATTTTCATCGTACGTCTTGTGTCCACTTCAAGATGGTCCGGAATAAGCGTGTTTAGACGTGGACCAAGACGGCGAAGTCGAGCAACGGGGATGTGTACACGCAGCCGCTCGTGCGCGTGGACTGGGCGTGAACGTCTAGATGTTCTTCAAGATTCGACACATGATGATTTCCACATTTTTATCTGGTTTATAATTATGGTATGGCAGTGTATGTCGCCTGTCCCGAACAGCGCCGGAAATCGGCTCCGAGGAGCTTCTCTTGCTTCTTTTGTCTCAATCTAAGAACCTACCCATCCTCGGGCGTTCACACGAGTCTGGCTCTCGCATCCCTGGACGATCAAGTTCCCGGTCGGCTCGTCCTCGGGAGCCTCCCTTCAGTTGATATGCATCACGGACGCCAACTCATTGCTTGGGAGCTGGTAGACCACTGGCAGTGTTGGTATTGGACTTCCTTCGAGCCCCCGGAGTCATAAGTCAAGAAGCGTTTCATCATAGTCGATCTGTGATTCTCTCATCCCTGCATTCAGTCTATCATCGCTCAGCGGGTTTCAATCACCAATCACTGATCTTGGAGCGGGAATTGAGCTGCGATGGAGCTAGCTAGGGGATAACGGACTTAAAAGCAACGCGCAATCCCACTCTTCCTACAAATGCCTCCTCATGACACTCATCGCTTCCGGCGCATTCTCCAGAGTCCCTCGGCCTCCTCCCTTACTTCCTCACTTTCATCTCTTTCGCTCTACACAAGCACTTCAAACAGCACAAGCTGGGGCCCCGGTGCTCTGGCAGGGAAAGCAATCAAGGCCCTAGGGAAATCCACAGTAAGGGGTGTGGAACATGTTGTTATAAAACGACGAATGGCAACTATCTGTGCAAATCTGCCACAGGTGGACAATTACCCGGACCTTCTTGCCCGCCCGGGATTTTGGCAGGAACTGTTCAATGATGTGCTGGAACTATCTCGGTATGCCTAGTTGAATGCACTATATTCTGTATCTCCATATTCATAAGTAAATACAGACCAGGACTTTACGATGACCAAATTCACTTGTCTGCAATGAGAATCATACTAGCGCAAATTGGATCTTATCAGACCAAGCATCTTATTCACTGTCTATCTGGATGGCTTCTTGATGATCTAATGCAGTTTCTGACCAACATCACATCTGTTGCTCTTTTTTGCTGCTCTGGGTTAGTCTGATTATATTTGTTCTATTGCAATGATTGAGCTTAAGACAGTTTTCTTGAACCAAAATTGACTGATGCATACCTGTCACAACAGAGTTATCACAATTTGGATCCTCATCAGCTGTATGAAGGGCTTGATTACAGCATGCCTGTTCTCTCATTTATTACAGCATTGGTCCAGACTAGTGTGATTGCATGTGAGGCTGCTCTTCTCAGTGGCTTTCTGGATCTATTGCTACTTATTGGATCTAAGGCAACACAACCTCCCGCACATCAACTAAATATTGCTTTCAACACTATTTTACAATCTTGTGCCAGTCCAGAAGGTGTTGAGTTGGAGCTCACAGAGCTGTTGCACTCCCAACTATCATCTTATTGGCCCTATGAATCACCTCCAGATTCAATCTTGGAGATAATATATTATATCAATAAGTATAGACCACAAACTGCAGGCACTCTGGAGGCCCAATTTCTTGAAAAACAAGCCATGATTTTGCTGCAATATTCAAGCCCAGCACAGTGCCCAATGTCTGCTGGCCGAACAATTGTAGACATTGCAACATTCCCTAAGATGTCAAATGTGATGTTAGGTACTGCTGCTGTTCCAGAAATCACTTTGTAGGTTATCAAATACCATTACATGACAATGGGTAAACTAATCAAAGTCATCAGGCGGGAAATTATGGACTTAGGCACAAGGGCATCTCATGCACTCTGGAACTTCATGAAATGTGTTGTTCTGGGTGGGCAGGTGCATATTCTAATGCTGAACCACTTGTTGAGTCAGACATATCGTGATCGGGTCTCATTATTCAGCCGCATGGCATACCTGCTTTTGCCTGGAACGTGTGTAGAACTGTTCAGCAATTTTGAACATTTACTTATGATCATCTAGGCAAGATGCTCAAACCCCTAGAATGCTTCGACTCATTAACCTCCTTGGAGGCTTTGGACTCTTCCAGCTTAAGTGGACAAACTTCCTACTCAATATGGCATTCCCATTATCTGATCACTGTGAATCAAGAGGCCAGGATCCTGATCAAGAGTTACAGAATAACAAATCTGCACTTCTTGACGGAATCATCACTTTGCTTATACCTGTTCTCAAGCCTTGTTCCACAAATGGAATTGTGTCACCAGAAACAGATATTGATCCAGCAGCCCTCTTCAGTGATCTATTCTGTCGTTGTAACTATTTCCCATCAAGTAAAAAAAGGCCAGCATATGGCAAACAGACACGGAAGTTTTTAAGCCTTATTAAGGCAGCAAGATTGGGGGAACTAGTACATCCGGACACAGCAACTGTTTATTTCCCAATTCTCTCAGAATGTATCAACAGGCCAACTCATAAGTAGAATATGACAAAGATACTATTTCTGTTCATTTTTAGTGAAGATACTAAGAATTATGAGTGATCTCCTGCATGAATGATGCTGATAGCCAGAAAACAGCCTGGTGGCCAACTACTTTAGTGCAGGGTTATCTGCACATGGACCAGTCACATTATCAGTGACCACTGTCACCTCACATGCTCCCTTACACCTCCAGTGAATTTTTGTATGAAAGGACACACCATGCCTGGCATTTTATATTACAGTAAGCTATATATAGTTACAGACAATAAAAGTGCTGACAACTCTTTAAAACTTAAATTGTGGACCAGCTATTACTGCTGAAATCTGAGTTCATATTCAGATTCAGAGGGTCTGAAACCCCTATATAGTATTTACATAATTTTCCTATGTCATATAAGCAGTGTCAAATATTCTGGACCTGCTGACCAAAACTTTTATACACCTTTTCATCTCAAAAATGGTTTTCATAAGGGAAAAAAAAAAAAAACTAGGTACTGTAGTAATTTATTCAATTCGGCGCCCCAAAATAGTGTGACATCGGCGCCGAAATTAAATTTTCGGCGCTGCCTGTCGATGTGTGTGACAGCCGAAATTTTTCGGCCTATTTAGCGGCCGAAGGGACCGGTGTGACACGTGACTGCCGAATTGAATAAATTGCTACAGTATGTACTCCTGCCTTTTCCAGCTCTGCTAAAATTGTACTATGACGTGCTCTGTGAGACCTCTGCTTCTTAACTGCCCATGCTACTGCTTTCCCTGTTAATCCTAAACAGTATGCACTTACAAATCTCAAGAGCGTTGAATAAAGCGACAAATAATATCTGTTTCCAGATACTCAAGTGCCTGTCTTTAGCTTCCGTAAAAGTCTTTTTAGGATGCTCCTTATAGCAGTATTTACACCATCCCCAATACATTTCAATTGGATGCAGTTCACAGTGGAACTTGGGGGAGAAAGATGCACAAATGTCCCCTGTTAGTAATCAAGGTCTCCAGTATTGAAGGTTGATTTTTGAAGTCATCTTGCTGGCTAAGCAGTCTGGTCATGCAACAATCCTGATTATCAACAGAACACACAGATTTGCATTTAGCCCATTTGAACTTCTTCACATCAAAGCTCCTTTCCCTCAGAACAGTTTCTGGTCCTTTCGGGTTTGTTTTGAACCTTTGGTCATTAGTCATTTTCTGAAATTTTCCTCTTTTCGATCTGGTTGGATTGGTATCTAGAATAATTGTATCTTTCTGCTTCCTCTGTTTTCCTCTATTACCTTTATTCATCTCCCAAGCTTTCAAGGCCTCTAGTTCTAATGAGGCATAAGCTGACGATTGATCAAAGACAAACAAAGCTTGACAGTTTGTGTCAGGGGAACCCCCACTTTGGCCCCCTTTGGAGCCTCTGAGTGCATCTGAGGCACATCAGACCGGCGCCCCCTTGGACGCTCCGACCCATTGTCCACAGCCTCCTTTGCCCACATAATCACTGATCTGTCAAGCAGACCTGTGACGCCACTCAGGCCTTCTGCACTCTACATCGGCAGGCAGTTACGGATGACCAGTATATAGTTGGCGCCCTAGCAGGCGGACCCGCAGAGTTTCCTCTCTTTGGATCCTCCCCTGCTAGGTCGGTCCCTCCGTGTATTTCCTGTAGCTCTTATTCACGCTTTGGATCCTCTCCTGCTAGGACTCTTGTGGGAGCCTTCAGGGTTGCCCTTATAGTTTGGATAAGCAGCTTCAAATATATCGAGCGCATCTTTGACTTGTGCAAGGAGCTGCCTCTGTATCCCACCAAGTATCACCTTTACTTTAAGCATATATTATCTTTTGTGCATCATAATAATATTTCCCTGTTGAAGGACCCCTGATTATTAGGTCAGTGGTCATCCGCCAAATTCAGACAAAATTTTGAAACCTCGGACCTCATGTCATGCCAGAGTTCGGACATCAGGGTGCCGAATGTGCGCAGGTCCTTCCAAAAGTTCGGACATTGTGATGTGTGACTCGGGCCAGACAGACACCCAGCCTTGCCTTTGGCTCTATATGACCAGCCGAAAAGTTGTATCCGTGACCTCCGGGGGAAGTCGGAGAGTACGATAGCACTGTCCAATTGGTTGCCGATCGGCACTCAGGCCTAAAACCCGTACAAATGACTGAGAGCTGATTAGAATAATCATTCATAAGGGCAGTTGTAAGTTTGGATGCTATGTGAAGGCAGGGACAAAAATAAAGCTCAAATAATTGATCGGATTCAACACATATTATTATTGGCGATTTTTTCGTATTTTTACAGTAATTCGGACAAATTTAGACTACTCTTGAGGTCATGCAACGAATTCGGACAGATTTTGACGACGATTCCGGTCTGACAATTCGGACAAATTGATTTTCCCGGATGACCTCTGACCCGATAATCAGGGGTCCTCCTGTTGATCATAGAGAAGAAGACTTCAAGTTGCCTCTGTGATAAAAATCAGCCACATGCAGTAAACGACGTTTTCTGGAAGGAAAAAAATCTCGCTTTTCAGCTGTACACTTGGTCTTTCATTCCTACATACTGATTTTGAGTGATACAAGTTGTCAGCTTGGATTGTCTGCAACTGTAAATCACTGGAGGGCCGTGGAGTACCTTGGTTCACACATTTGCGGGATGAAGCGGAGGGGAGACAGCTACCTCTTTGCGCATCACTGGTCGAATTCAGCGCCGCCTGCACGTTGTGCCTTTGCATTTTTTTTTTGGGAATGTCACGGTATTTTTATTTTCTATTGCACGCATAAATTTACAGGTTGTGCAAAGAACTAGACAGTTTTCTGCTTGTTCCAGCGGATTGACTCGCAGAATGCGGTCCATCGCATCGGCGTGTCGTCTGAGGCCGCCACACGCGGAGCGCCCGCGAAGCAATACGACACCACGGCGCGGCAGGGCGCGGCTTCGGTCGGAGCAACGCAACGGGGCAGCCGTTCCTGCAGCCAAGCGATGTGTGTTTGTTTTCGCATGGAACTGGTTACCGAAGGTGTCGGGAATAATACGTGATCGCGGAGGGAGGGACCTGGGACCCAGCCCATGGCCGACTGCGAGGCGACACAGAGCCGCGGCGGGAAACGATGGGCAGGAACGGGGACTGTTATAGAAAACGAAACGGGGGGAATGGTGGCTCGGGGTAGGGTATCATTGCGGGCGACAATCTACACAGTGTGAGCACGGAGACACGAAGGCGACAGGCAGCGCACCAAGCGTCCCTCCGTACACCGCCGTCCAGGTCCATGGCCAGCGTGCTCGACTTCCCCGGGGGTATCGCCTCTATCACCTCCTCCGCTGTCTTCCCCTGCTGCTGCGGCGCACTGACCATCTGGAGGACGGGCCCCGGTGGGCGCTGCACGCTGATCCGGCCGTCCTCCGTGCGCCGGTAGTCCCGCTGCATGAACTCGCGCTTCAGCGCGCGCTCGCGCGGGTCGCGCGCGCCCGTCCGCCGCCCGCAGAAGCCCGAGCCGTCGGTGCCGGGGTCCGATGGCGAGCCGCAGCCTGGGGTCGGCAGTAAGCTAAATGGACGCAGGGAAGGGGAGAGACGCACAGCAGCAGGAGCAGAGGTACAGCACGCCGCTGCAGAGGGTGTCGCTCATGGCTGCGCACGCAGAGAGGCGATGCGATGACGTGGGAAGCGTTACACATGGGTGCTGACACATTATCGCACTATCAGGGAAGTCTCGGATCACGCCCGCGCCGCCTCAATCGGCCCCTCAGCTCTTGGATGTATACATAGAAGTAAGTATGGAAACCAAACGCTCATGCCTACACCCACGCCTACACCACGCCCGCGATCCGGCCCGCCCGCAGCGGCGCCAGCGCGCCGAAGCCCGCGCGCGTCATGTCGAGGTCGCCCGCGGCGCACGCGGGACAGCGGTCCACGACGGCGAGCGTCACGGCCTTCCCCTTGTCTGCCAGCCAGTCAAGCACTCGCGCGTTACATATGATTATGGACTCACAGCTCGCCCGCAGCCTGCGCCCGCAGATCGGGTTCCTGCATCACGGGTTCGTCAGCGAGACTAGGAGGCACCGTGACGACGCGCGAACCTGTTCGGGTTGGACGACGTCGCCCCGCTGCATGCGTCAGCGCTTTGCTGCGCGGAGATAAGTAAGTGCACCCACGGGTACGTGTCGAACACCGCGTGGCTGACGGCGACGACCATCTGCGCGCCGTTGTTCGTCTTCCCGCACGCGCCGAGCCCCGGGTCGTAGAATGTCGCTGGGTAGCGACGTGAGCAGTCGATGGAATGCACTGCGGGGAGGAGGCTTACCGTCTCCGGAGTACTTTGTGTTTGCGATGTCCGGGTTTGGCGGGACGACTCGTGCATGCGCACTGGCACTGGCACGCGGATGGGCGGCGGCGGTGTAGAGAACGGAGAGCAGCGTGAGCAGGAGGGGGACGCGCATGGTCTCCGTGCCGGTCCCTGGATTCCTAGTGGGTGCAGAGCGAGTTACCGCAACTTATAGTAGCCACAGCGGCCAGTATGCGGACGTGTGACTGCGCCGAAGGCGGGGATGCGCGGTCTTCGCTCCGCACGCACAGGCTACTAGACTCTAGTGCGTCGCCCAGAGCAGCAGCAGCAGAGCCGAACACGCGCGCCGCCCTGGCGCCAGCCCGGCCCCGGTGTGGGCCCACGTGCGGCTTCCGAGCAAGGAGGGTGTTGCTCAGAGTTGGGAATCCTGACCAAGGAGGACATGATGGATATCATGAAGAGAGAGAAGTGATACCACGTCATCGCGCTGACGTGGAGACTTCGCACATGGGCGTGGCCAAACGGCGTGGGCCTGCGCCAACGGGCGTGCACGCCCGTGATGGCGTGGGCGTGGCGTGGGCGGGCGTGGGACCGTCCGCGGAGACTATCCCCAGTCCTATGACGGCGACCGCGACGCCTTCATCACTGTTATGTGGCGGTCACTTGTCCGCGACACCACGGCTCCAATGAGAACACATCAAAATGTGCTGATCGTCGTCAGCCACGGTGCCAAGACATCTTGGCGAAACTCACTCTTGCCTGTAGTGGACGTTGCCAAGTGTGAATCAGGCCACGGAGGCCAGGTTCAGCCTGTCTCGGAGTCAGCGCTCGTCGGCGAGCTAGCCACGCTGAGAGTGCTTGAGGCCCTCCTGCCCGCCCGTTCCTTCTCCGGGCGCGCCGGGCCGCCGGCGCCACGTTCGCGCTGGCGTTCAAGGTCGGAGGGCATCGTGTCGCTCCCCGGTGTCCTCACCCTCGCCATCGTCGTCTGCGGCGCTGGTTCTGTCGGTCGCGGTCGGGCACCGGACTTCGCGGGGGGCTGGTTGGCGTCGTGGACCATGTCACTCCGGTGGACCGCCAGCCCGCGGCGCATCTCGCCGCCCACTGATGATGGCGCCGTACGATGCTTCAGAGCTCTAAGACGAATCACATCTTGTTGTACATGGAAGCCCACGCCCGTTTGTCCAGCGTGCCAAGCGGGACAAACGGGCGTGCCAAGCCGACCGATGGGCGTGGCACGCCTGATGGACGGGCGTGGGCTTTGATCGTCAGCCAAAACCCACGCCCACGCCCATCCACGCCCGTTGGCGCAGGCCCACGCCCATCGGGCACGCCCGAAAGTGAGCTCTCCGCTGACGTGAGGTGTGTTGACGGTTTGATGCGGCAGATCCACGTCACCATGTCTCCTGTCACTGCGACGACAGACCACTCCAGAGCTCCCCGGCAGTGCGCCCGGACGGTCCGAAGGCCTGCTTTTTCAGTGGTGACAACCATCGAACGGATGTCAGGCTATACACGCCGCTGTCATGATACTAGTAGCTCCATACCCGGTGTACTGTCGTGGCCACCAGCAATCGACTCGTCGCTTCCTCCCCCGCACCTCCATGCCCCCGCTTGCGCGCTACGAGACCCCTGGTGCCGCCAGCGTCCACAGCTGGTGGTCGGACGCCAACCCCGGCGGGGCGACGATCAACCTGCACACCGTCGCCCGCCCGCTCGCGCATGCGCTGTATGCCCGCGAAGCGCGCAAGCTCGTCGACGCCCCCGGCGCCCTGCTGCAGCCCCCTCTCCGGCGAGCTCGTGGACCGGTACATGGCGTTCTTGGCGTGCGTTGCGCCCGCTTTCTGCCTTACAAGCTTACCACTTACGTGACGCAGGTGTGACGTCAAAACTGTTGGCGTCTCAACGAAGAACATCATCCTGCGGGATCTCATATACCGCCTGGAACTCCTTCGCCAGCGTCTAGCGCAGCCGCTCCACACTGATATACTGTGTGATCTGCTAGCATCCGCGCACTTTGGGATCCACTTACGTAGCTGCTCTGTCGTTCGCCGTCTTGCAAACCGCATGTTGCCCGAGTCTCGCTCATTCATCATCCAATGTGCCAACACTCTTTGTCAACTCATCCCTCCCCCTGGCCGTTTCACACATAGATACACGCTGGAAACCATGGTGGCACTGTGTGTGACAGACATTGGTGCAAATGCGGTAGCCGAAGTGCTGGAGACCTCGCCCACATCTGTAGATGCTGCGGACTTTCTCCTCCGTGTCATCAAGCACCTCGATGGGGGCGTCACTTGCATGCAGGCGATTGCATCCATGGCAGGGGAGCTGGTCGAGCCTGGCAAGATGGTCGTCCCCTGGTCTTCTCTTATGTGCGTTGATTATCAGACCCTTCCCAAATGCTCATGGCAAGACTCGGACTCATAGTGCCCCACATGATGCTCTTATGTGTGCAGCCAATGCATTATGCCGGACCATCGCCATTCCAGACACACCAGGTACACCAGACACACCCCTCACCGTCCTCAGACATGCTCCGGCAATCCTGGGCGAGTCCGAGAACTCTCCTTGCCGGCGTGAATTTTTGTACTGGTTCATTGCAGAGCTTGCGCTCAGCCGCAGCGCCCACGGACTCGGACTGTCATCACTTCCCATCACAGGCCTTGTCAGGTCTCTGAAGACGGCAGTCAAGTACGTTGTCAAACTTTTCATTGGTGGGCAAGTTTCAGGACTTACCTATTATCTGCAAGGGAAGCCGATATGGACATGCGGATATATGCTGCGGCAAACTTTGCACTTGAGCAGATGCAGGTCTACGAGCGACGATATCAGCGCCTGGGGCAGTATACCGCCAATGACCTTTCAGCCGCGGGATGGCTGGGAAATCCACGGCAGGCACCCGGTGTGACACCCGGCTGGATCCATGATCGACCCCATCTGTCATCCATGTTTGGACGCAAATGGGTCCATGCCGGGTCTAGAGTGTCTGGAAAGCAGCCAAATATGCAGGAAAACACAATATAGAATATTTAGTAGGGCAGACATAACCTGATTCATCATGTACTGCTGCCCAATTTTGATTTTGAATACATGTTTTGCATAAGATATTCATATTCATAAGTACACCACCAATTGGCCCCTAGCTGGTGTGCAGCCGGCCTTTCCAGCTGGCACTGGCTGACATGACACCTGGCAGCAGCCGTCTGCCATGAGAATGCCAGCTGGACGATCCGGAGGCCTGAGAACCTCCCGGAACACCGAGCGCTGGATGTCAATCAGATGATTGACAGATCCGCGCGGTATCAGCGCTCATATATGCCGTTGCCAGGAACAGCCAGCAACGCACTTCTCTCTTTTCCCCCCAAGTCCGAACACTTTTCAAGCCCTTCTCAAGCCTCAAATGCCTCCAAGCAACCACAAGCACTATTAATCAAGCACTCTGTCAAGTCCTTGCCTACTCTCAAGTCCTCAAATCACCCCTTCAAGATTTTCAAGCTCTTTTCTGTCCTTTCCCCCCCCCCCCTCTCCCTCCCTTAGCTGCTCCCTCCTCCCCTTCTGTAGTCCTGTTATTAGTATGATGTATCTCTGTATATACAATACATTTTATGTGTTTTTTTCTATCTGTGAGCGCTGCAAAAATCCGATTTTTTTTTTGCTATGGTAGGCAATCATTCCCTGATAGCCGGCCGGAACTGGCCCCAAGCTGGGTCCATTTGCGACAAGAGCTGGATTCCAGCTGATGACATGGTGGCAGGCAGCTGTCACTGATGCCCGTGACACATGTGATCGGCAGCTTCTCAGCAGCTGTCATCCCATTGGTGGTGTATATATTCGATTATATTCATATTCATAAAAACAGCACTGGAATGCTGTCCCAGGGGGTCCCAGAAGGCCCTTAAAAACCTTTCGATGGTATATCTGATTTTTTAATAATGACACCCCACTGGGAAATGCCCTCACCCTGATCGAGCCCATCAGCAGCAGAGACGTATCTTGTTTCGCGCTGCTCTTTCCGCACTTCACCTTTCCGAACCCCCTCATTGAACCCTGGCAAAAGTGGATCGCTCTTCGTGAATGAGGTGGCCGCAGAGACCACAGACCCAGTTGAGGCGAGAGTATGATGGTTGTTATCATTGGAAACTCGGAGCTTGCTGAGGGTGCTTAGAGGTTGGAGCTTTGAGCTCCGGTATGCAGCTGGAGCTTGTAGCTCCGAGCTGGACAGCATTTTTTTGGTCCTTGCTTGGTGCTTCCTCATTACATAAGACTTACCATATCTAGCCTAATATAGGACCAAAGGGTTCAAACCATTGACTATCTATATACATAACACTGGGCGCCATGCTTGTGGCAGAGGGCAAATGGCAGTTTGCAGGGAGACCTAAAAGAAAGTTTTTTCCTTTGTTCATAACAAAGATTTCTTTGTTTCCTACAAACTCCCATTAGACCCCCATTTCCCAACTGCCACAACCATTGCACCCAGTGTAATAGGCTGAGATAATATGTTGTTGTATGTCATGATTTCGTATAATTCACATATTTACTACAGCTCTGTAATATAAGGATAATATTGATGATCTCAGTTGAAGTTACTGAAAAGGATTAGAGCTGCCAGCAGACCAAGGCTGCATATAACCATAATGAAATATTAAATTTATTGCACACTTTAAAGGGTTACAAACTAGATAATAAACTAAAGGACAGTACAACATAGCATGGAGGAGGCATTATGGTACCACTGGATATAATGTTAGTTAGTGGGTTCCACCAACAAGGCTTAAATTTGCTTCTGGTAGTAATTGTTAATAATTCTAAATCAGTATAAATGTCCTTACTTATCCTCTCGAGTTTAATATTTCAATATGAAGATCTTGAAAGGATAGTCACACTAGGGCTTCAGCTAAAAGATGGTCCTCTAAGCAGAATGTATATATAAGGAATAGTGGTCTAAAACAATGGCCTTCTTTGCTGCTTTGATTAATAGGCAATGAAAGTTGCAAAAATTGTATCTGATTTACCAAAAATCAAAATCATTGTGATTCTGCCATGATGTCATAGAGCCTTACTTCAGACACAGAATCGCACTATATTTAGATACAAATCCATGAACATTTAAATTTCCCCCACTTTTAAGCCAGAACTGGCATGGATTAGCTGGTGAGGAGCCACCAGTGATCACACCATAATTTGGCCACTGGGTGGCTCCTGGTAGGACATGTCAAACTGTCTATTGTGACCTGATATTGACTTTGAGTTAAGTCCAATCTGTGACTTGAGATATGCCCAATTTCTAACAACTCAAGTCTACTTTCCTGGAGCTTGATTTGTTATCTTTCCAAGTTGGTAATATATCTATATATTGTCCCCTCTATTTGTCATAAATCAATTCTACTTGAGTGCCTATTTTTTCAGCAGAGACCCCAGTGTGAGTTTGTGTATCAAGTAGCAATTGGTTTATTGTCACGGATAAGACCCGGCCCGTCCGCTCCGGCGCTGGTGTCGGGCCATCGCGGGCCCGTAGCACGCAGCACGTGACGACGGGGAACATGCGCCCCAGTAGGAGGAACGCACACGTGGGAAGCATGTGACCGAGAATGACGCGTCGAGCCGTCGCCGAGCCCAACTCGACACAAGGGGACTGGGGAGGAGTGCTAGGAGGTTAGGAGTAGCGCCTGGCCCGCAAGGGATGTACGATCGTCCCCTCTGCGGCCAGGAACGGGAGCGAGGAGGAGGAGGAGAGGCCAGGGTGTCCGATCACCCCCTTTGCGGGCCCGCATATATAAGGCACGATAGTGTACCTAGGGATGAGCACGGGTCAACCCACGGGTGTCCGGAGGCTGACTCGGACCCAGACCTGCACAGCCACTGATCTGTGACCCGCAGCTCTGGGTACGGGTCACCCGCCGGGTTGCAAGGTGGAGGGAGAATTTGGTGGCAAATAATACCGAGGAAAAAAGGGACAAGAGGCGGAATGAATGCAGGACCTGTTGGTGAAGGTCAAACAGGCAAGCCGACAGGAAATCATGGTAAGCCACCTAGACTGAGTAGGCACGGGTCAAGCTGCAGCTGACCCGGATCCATACCCGCACGGCTCAAACCTGCCAACCCGCGTGGGTCAGCCCGTGCTCATCCCTAAGTGTACCCTGTACTCTATCGCTTAGATCGTCTGAAGAACTACCTTACTCCGTGCAAGGAGACGTTATCGACTCATCGGGCCCAACACGACCCGATTCGAACCTTCAACCACCGACCACGACAAGGGACCGAGTTCACGGGCCCTTTCGGTTTCGATCTACCCCGCCCGCCATACTTGCAGGCCCGACTATCCGTCTGTTCTGTTCCGGGCGCGCGTTCTTTAGGAGAGGTTCTTGCACGGCCCGTGTCAGGGGAACCTCCCTTTCGGCCCCTCGGAGACGTCTCCGATTCCGGTCCGATTCCGGTTCCGTCTCCGGTCCGGCCCTCCATCTCGCGCGCACGATCACCGATCCGTCAACTCCCTCCCAACGGTCGCCCTGGGACCTTGCCTGCGACGCCGCCCAAGCCTTCTGTGCCCGACAGCGGCAGCTACGGACAAGCAGTATATAGTCAGCTCCCTAGCAGGCGGACCCTTAGAGTTTCTTCTCTTTGGATCCTCCCCTGCTAGGTCAGCTTCATTTGTATTTGCTTACCAATGTTCACGCTTTGGATCCTCCCCTGCTAGGACCTTGATCTCAGGCCTCCGGGGTTGCCCTTACAGCCCGACCCGCAGTCTGACAGAATCTAAGTGATCCTCTTACACCCGCACAACAGAACACACGAAGAGGCGGCACGGATTGATTGCAAAAGGTCCAAAAGAGTACAAAGAATAATAATAATAATAATAATAATAAAAACACCCGCCGACTACGCACGGCCCTTCCCCTTCCGACTCGCCGAAGGACCTGATGGAGGAGAACGGCGCGACCCCGACCCAGGCCGAGTACCCCCAGGAACGGGGCCCGAGCGACCGGCCTGGCGACGGTCCGCGGCGGCCCTTTGCTCCCACAAGTTGAGCCGGGTTGATCCCGAGTCGTCGACGGCCCCGAAGATGCCCCTCACCCGAGTGTACAGCTCCACCATTTGAGCCGCGGAGAACCGAAGCCCCAAGTAATCCATCAGTTCGAAATCCGCCGGCTGCATCAACATGCGAGTTTCGGACCGGAGCGAACGCAAGACGCCGAGGGACAGTGGGTTATCCTGGGGCCGGGTTAGCAGCTGGTGCAGAAGCGTCACCCCTACGGCGGAAAACCGGCACGATTGGACCACATCCGGGTCGTCCAACAACCGGTGCGCCTCGGCGGTGGCCCGAACCGGCGACGGCTCGCCGAACCAGAGCAGCACGTCCGGGTAACTCTCTGGGCGGAAAGGCATGTCCTCCATTGTTGAGGGGCCCGCACAGCCGGAACTGGTTCCCGCTTCCGGGCGGCCCGCGTCCCTACGCGGCCCAGTGGGGGGAGGACGGATCGGGGTAACCGGTGCGGGACGGGGGGGCGCGGGAGATCGTGCGCGAGGAGGTGGCGCCAGCCGATGAATTGGAGAGGCTGAGCGCCGAGGAGGGGAGCGGGAGCGCCGACGCGACGGCCCAGTTCGGGGGCCCCGTGACGTAGCCCGGGGGCGTCGCGGGAGACGGTTGGCGGCCCGCATGCCGGTTCCGAACATTGGGACGGGTAGAGTGCCCCTTGTCCTCCGAACGACGCCGATGTTGCGCCCAAAGAGTATTGGGGCGGGGCAGAAAACGGAAGCAGAAGCGCCGGTAGAGGAAATTCTCCGACACCGCTTGAAGGTCCGCAAACCGCGAGTCCATCTCCAACAGGGCATACACGCCCTCCTCGTCCGTACACTCCCAGAACTCGAAACGCCACGAAGACCCGCGCAAATTCTTAGCCTCGTAAGCGGCCGCGAACGGGCCCCACGAATTGCAACGACGATGCGCGCGACTGCACCAGTCGCAAGCACGCCGAACGTTGGCCGGGAGCTTGAAGGCAAGGTCGCCGGGCTGACCCCAGACGGTGCAAAGCCACCCCGTCTGCACGCAAAAGAAGCACCGAGGCACAATGGTCCGGACCACCTCGCCGATACGGCGCAACGGTTCACCTGGGAACCGCTCGGTCGCGCCCGCGCGACTCAAGGCAGGGGCCGATGGTACGTAACCATCCGTGTCCTCCACGGTAAGCCGCGATACCCGGTTCGACGGGGAGGTGCGGGGGAGCGACGGAACGACTGGGGATCACGGGGATCAGTGGATCATTGTCATCCGAGATCTCGATCACCGATGCCCCGCGGATCGGGGGAGGGGGACCGGTCAACATTTCCAAACCGGGCGATGGAACACGGAAGGGCGCCAGAGGGCAGCCGCCATGGCCGCGTCAAAGGACGCCTGTACCCAATCCCAGAGACTGGTACTGGGAGGGCGGACGAGGGGAGGACGATGGAGACGGGAAAACCGATATGCAGGATCCCGAAAGTACCCGCGGGAGAAGCGGGGGGCGCGAGAATGGTGGAGACGAGGACGACACGTGAAGTGAGTCCGGACGAAAACACGCAAAAGGTCGACCCCATGCACGGGGAGGTGGGAGACCTCACAGGAGGGAAGGTCGGCCAAGTCAACGAGGCCCGACTGTTGGACGGAGAACAAAGAGTGGTGGGGGTCGCTGGTCGGGGCAAAGAACGGGAAGGCCAGAGCGTCAAGAAAGAGAAAGTGCTCTAGGAGGAGACCAGGCGTTACCCGTAGCGGCGGGACAGCACTGGAGTACGGCAGCAGTGTTTCGTCGACAAGGGAATAGCGGGGGGCCATAACGGGGAAACGACGAAAAATGAAGGAAAAAGGGGAACCAACGCAGCCTATATACGGCCCGAAACCGGGAATATTCCATATGGAAGACCTCACAAAAAGGAGAACCAAGTGAGACGCCCCGAGGGCGCCCAAAATAGCCAGACAAGGACAAAGGACGCGAAATCAATTGACGACACGAAACGCAGTACCGCATGTGACCGCGGTGAAACACTTGATGGACAGGAAGAATCGATCTGCGGACGCCACGAGGCAACAGAAGCCGCGGGAGATTAAAACGTGCAGCCGAAGCTTAGCTTAAGCTTATGGGCTGGATGGAATTTACGATTGGAAGGACGAGCTAGAGTCAAATTAACCCGAGAAACCGGGGCGACCGAGCCACGCCGACTCGAGACGAGTCGTTCCTAGGGGAGGGGGTGATGTCACGGATAAGACCCGGCCCGTCCGCTCCGGCGCTGGTGTCGGGCCATCGCGGGCCCGTGGCACGCAGCACGTGACGACGGGGAACATGCGCCCCAGTAGGAGGAACGCACACGTGGGAAGCACGTGACCGAGAACGACGCGTCGAGCCGTCGCCGAGCCCAACTTCGACACAAGATACTAGGGAGGAGTGCTAGGAGGTTAGAAGTAGCGCCTGGCCCGCAAGGGATGTACGATCGTCCCTGCTGTGGCCAGGAACGGGAGCGAGGAGGAGGAGGAGAGGCCAGGGTGTCCGATCACCCCCTTTGCGGGCCCGCATATATAAGGCGCGATAGTGTACCCTGTACTCTATCGCTTAGATCGTCTGAAGAATTACCTTACTCCGTGCAAGGAGACGTTATCGACTCATCGGGCCCGACACGACCCGATTCGAACCTTCGACCACCGACCACGACAAGGGACCGAGTTCACGGGCCCTTTCGGTTTCGATCTACCCCGCCCACCGTACTTGCGGGCCCGACTATCCGTCTGTTCTGTTCCGGGCGCGCGTTCTTAGGAGAGGTTCTTGCACGGCCCAACCCGCAGTCTGACATTTATAGTATCAAGAAAGACTAATTGAACTGTTCTGATATCCGACATAAGAGGGCCATGTCCTCTAATCATGGAGTATCACCTGCCTAAATAACCATGGCTTGAGTTTTTTTCTCATATGTTTTTTTGCCTCTCCCTGCCAATGCAGCCTATAGCTTTGGGAGATGATTTTCTTGACAGGACATTTGATTGTATACTAACTTGTCACCACTTGGTCCTCTATATATTATTCTAATTCTTTATTTTTATTGATTATTACTATTATTATTCCCCTTGGTTTCATTATTTATAGGGCAGATCTCTACAAAATCATAATTTGCCCTGATGTAATCAAATGGTCCCAAAATCATTCAGCACATCAACAATCTTCCACCTCCAAGCTCCATTTGAAAAGCTCCCAACTCAAGCTCCAAGCTCTCATCTGTGACCTCCAAGCTCCTAACTCAACCTCAAATTTGTCACAAAAGCTCAGGTCGCCAAGCTCCAAAATGGTCAAAAAGCTCCTGGTTCTAAGTAATAAACAATGAAAAAACATGTTATACGAGAGCTTGTCGATTCCTGAGTTGTCGCCGAATCTCCCGTCCCACCCATCAAATACGCGTGATCCACGCATTAGCTGTGGCGCCAAGAGGTCGCAGATTTGCCGGGGGTCGTGGGAATTGTGCTGCCCGATGGCAAATCTGCGACCTCTTGTGTGGCGCACTCGATTCTCGCTTCAGAACGACATGAGAGTAGGAGGCGAAAAGGAAGCGGGAGGCTGTGTCGCATCGTTGATCCGAAGTTGTTGTCATGCGCATAACGTCAGCTTTCTCTTCTTGGCTTTCGCCACCATCTCCGTTTGCCTGCTCGAGCTCCCTTGCGTCCACGCGCTGCCGCAAGAGGGACTGTTATTGCGCGGCACCTAGTTAACCACTCCCCTACATTATCACCACTCTTGTGTTGTGCTGCGGAAGGTGGTCTAAGTACTAAGCGCTAGAAGCCTAGAACGACTAGCGACATCGGACATCTAGGATAACTTCTGGGATGGTCTTGTTCTCCCATCTCGTTCCTGCAATGGCTGATGATCAACAGCTCAAGCTGCGGCTGGCAGTGACTCACACTATGACACTGGACGGTCCGATGGGCTATCTGTCATGCAATGACGTGGCACCACTCTTGTCTTCTCCCCTCATGTCGACGGGTGCGCAAACATTCCCACCGGAGCTGGAGCGCGAAATATTCGAAACAGCGGCCATTTTTCATGTATCCACGATCCCAACACTGCTCCTCGTTGCCCACAGAGCTTACACCTGGTGCGTTGTTTCTGCGGCACCGCGTTGAGTCTTATGTTCCGTAAACCCAGGCTAGTGCCGATATTGTACCGCCAGATGAACCTTCAATATGATCGACAGCTTCAAGGGTTCCTTGGTGTCGCTCAAACGTGTCCGGCCCTGTTGCAGCATGTTCGCGAGATTGTGCTGCCGACTGGATACCCACCCGAAACCACAGCAAAGGTCTTTGACGGTCTCCGTTCCTGCCACAAACTGGGGGGACTGGCAATGCTCCACAGTCACCTGATCCACGAGGTTGTGGCAAACGGGCTTGCTCTCCCTCCCCGCCTGAGCACCCACCTTGAAGGCCTCTTCCAACAGGACACTGCGGAGCATGGTGCGCCGCCCCAAATTCAAGTTGGAACACACCATCTAGAGACGCTGCTCGCCTTCCGCTTTGTCACCCACCTCGATTGGTTCGATGACCTGACAGCGTATAAGAGCGACGACGATGAAGAACACGCACGGCAATTCATCATCCAGTTGCCTGCCCTGACACACCTCGCCGTCGTGCCGTTCTCTGCGGAGAACTACGTGGACAACCTGGCAGCACGCCTCCCACGGCTGCGTGTGCTCGTCATTGTCTGGAGTCTCTCCGGGTACTTGCGCAGGCGATCCGACGACCCGGTTCTCCGCATTGCGTTCCGCGATAGCCGTGTCGTATGCTCCGTGTACGACGAGTGGTATGAGGGCATGACCAGCGGGTATCGGTCTACTTTCTGGGATCTGGCGGAGGAGCTGGTGAGAGGGAAAGCCAACAGCACGGTGCCTGGTGCGTCTTCACATTTTGCCATCGACAGTCGCACGGGCGTCGGGCAGGCTTTGGGTTAACGTATTTCTCAGAAAATGAATTTTGGGCTCGGCCTCCCGAACGTCATTCCCGATAGAAACATTATCACGCTTTTGTATATTTTGTTAACTTTCGGACTCAGTAGCTTTGCTGTCCCCAAGCTATCAAGAAGAAGCTCTCCCGAGCGGGTATGTGTGTGCATAATGAATGTACTAGTCGTCTCCTTCCCGTTTCTCAGCCTCTCCGTCAATAACAACCATAAGTGCCATCAGCTTAGACAATTCATGCTGCATATATTTGACACGGGATATACAAGATTAAATCGTGAACTGTATGACACAACATGAAACTATTCAACTATACAACCTTGAAGCTCCAAATTTGCTCGGGTCGCCCTGTATAAGTCTCAAAGGTGACCTAAAAATGAGTTAGTCCGAAAAATATCCCCCGATTGTAGGGTATCTTGCCGGAGAAATCGTGCTTCCGTCCTGCACGGCCCAGGCAGTAAGTGCGGTTCCTTGACCTGCAAGCTTGATGCTGAGACGTCATCAGATAGCGAACAAATGGAAAGCAGTGGAGCGTACGCGCCGGCGGTCGTATTCACGCAGTCCAGCTCGAACGCGCTGGAGAATGTCCCCGCAGTTGGCTGGTAGAAGAGCGCGGACGCGTTGGTGGAGGCGCCGCCGTAGGTGAGATAGACGGTGTCCTTCGACGACGATGCAGGCTGGATGAAGAGAACGGAGGTGGGGGAAATGGGGATAGGGTCCCACTAGTAACAAGGCTTCAGCAGACATTGAAGAAGGGTAAGAGAAAGTGCACTTGTTGGTTCAACGTCGGCGGGGAGTTGATAGTCTGCGCAATGACGGGGTTGACACCGAAGGCCCGGTCCAGGACATAGCCCTGGAAGTTCATGATGTAAAGCACAGCAGCGGTGTAGCAGATCGGCGCCATTTCTCTGAGAGCGAGAAGAGTGGGGAACTCGGGAGGGGCTTTGTCCAACGATGCATTGCGTGGCGAAGCCTTTTGAGCAGACGGACAAAGAAGTGTCAGGTCAAGGTACGGACCTGAGTTGATATTGAAGCCTCGCGCAATAGAGAACGAAGACAGGCAATGTGTGGATGCCCTGTTGATATGCCCTGGAACAGAGTTCGGGCTCCGATACCAGCGGCTATCAAGCAATCACAGCCGCCAAGTTCGCACCGTCGTTCGTCAGCACACACCTGAAGACAATGCCTGAGCCACCGCTCCCAATGACTCTAGTGTCTTCAAGTTCTCCCTCTGCCAGCCTGGCTAGCGCACCCTTGCTGGGTAAGATTTGGACCAGTCGATGGGCGAGAGGCCATTGGTGCTGATCGATACAGATCTGTGGAGAGTGGAGCTTGTGCCAAGAGCGGCTTCAAGTTCGGGCTGCGCGACTGGCCATCCGCCCGTCAAGCCCTGACCCATCGATTTAGAGGCAGCTCAGTGTCGTATGCTCGGAGGGGGAGCAGTGTGACAGCAGGAACTCGAAATCGTCAAGGTTACCAGTCAATGGGGTTCCTTTCGGACTGTCCATTGCTAGACCACGGATTGGCCTTCGTGAAAAATGATCTCCGCAGAGTGATAAATTTGCAGAAGTGGCCATATGAGCTGTGAGAGCATCCTTACCACTGGAGAATCCATTGGTTAATCGAAATCGCTGACGGCCCTTGTTGCTAAAATTACTGTTAAACTTTGGGTGAGGAGCTCGGCTTCGGGAGTGGCGAGCGCTGTAAAGTCAATAAGTGATTTATGATCTTAACGAATGAATGCACGGGTTACTGATGCGGTGGAAGTGCAAGCGGGGGTTGCAAGCGTAACTTCCACAGCAATGCCAATGAAAGCAGCGAAGCTGTATGATATGACGCGTCAGTGGAGCAGGGCGCTAACCTGTTGCTCTTATAAGTGCTAAGCTTTCGACAGGGAGTGAAACACTCACGATGTATCGCGGACTTGACCTGCTGACAACTGTGCGCCGCGCCACGATTGACTCCGTCCAAGTCCGGCCTGGCGAAAGCTCGGGTGGAGAGAGTTCGTCATCTGGGGAGAGCTCCTCTGGGGAGAGTTCGTCGGGAGAAAGCTCTTCGTCTTCCGGGGAAAGCTCGTCGTCCGGAAAAAACTCATCCAGCGGAGGCAAAAGTGGATCGAGGGGCTCGAGTGGCTCCTCTGGTAGCGCTGACATCCCTTCTGGCAATACAACATCGATTGGCAGCTCAGCATCGACGTCGAGCTCGGGGGGTGGAAAGCAAGTTGTCATACCTTCGGGGCAGCTATTCGCAGGCCGAACCGCCGGCGGAGGAACACGAGGGGAGGTATTGGGCACGAAGTGAGCATCTTAAAGCGGGTGTCGATACCGAAGCTTGATGAATTGCAGGGAATATGGAAGCGGATATCCGGGAATCGCTTCTCGGGGGGTCGAAGGGCGGGGCTTCCCGTTCTTCTTTTGGCCGCTTTCGTGGGGAACGGGAGGCGGTTATGGCGCCGATGCAGCCTACATGCATACTAACGAGGTCAGCTGCCTTGCTTTCAGAAGCCACCAATGCTCACCGCTGACCATCAAAGTACGGCGACCCGACCAACTCCTCTCGCCCTGGCGGCCCAATCGGATCTCACGCCTTCCAGTCGACCACCGCCAACGCAACAGCCTTCCACCTCATCGCCGACGGTGCTACCGTCAGGGCCCTCACGCCCAGCATCGCCGCGCAATGCTCTGTCAACCTGCATACCACCAACACCACCGAGCCGCCCACGCCATTCAACGCATCAGTGCTCTTCCCGGAGCAAGTCGTCCAGTACTACCGCGCCTCGTCCGTAGCACTAACGCTTGACGGGTACAACAACTCGGCGGTGTTCGCAGCGGAGAACACCACGAGCGACACGCCCCTGCCGGGGGGGACAGATCTGGCGCTGCTCGACTGCTTGAATGCGACGATTGGGAAGGGTGTGCCGTTGGTGAATGGGGCAGCGAATGTCGGACCGGAAGCATCACTTGTCCTGCCATGGCTGTGGCTGGTCGTAATTGTGGCAAGAGCAATCGGAGTTGTATGAAACTTCTAGCATTAGATCAGCAAACTGTGAAAATCCAGCGCACGAGCGCACCTCTGAGCCGCCTGACTTGAGGAAGCCATAGGAACTGGTGCACTGGAACGGAATCCCCCAGTGCAGATTGATATCCGTCGCTGTGGAACTTGAAGGCACCCGTACCTTGGAAGCACAACTTCGTCAGCCTCCGACATCGACATGGTGGTCAAGAAAGAACCTAGCACGAAAAAAAGATTGACAGCTATCATGAGTGTGATTGATCTAGCCAACAGCGATGCGCGTTCGACGCTCGCGACAGTCCATATAAATTATGACTGCACTGCGTGAGCGCAATCTATCCAGCCCGGAAAGTACAGCCACATTACCGAGCGCGGAAACCTCTCTCCCTCCTCTGCGTCGCAGTCCGTATGCGCCTGTTGCTGGCGAGGACGCGAGTCCGACATGGACATGGAGGGAAAAGACAAGCCGTGGATCGCGTAAGCGGATGACGTGAACGCCACCCACGTGGACCCAACGCCAAGCCAAACAACCGCTTCTCTCGCGCACCATGAATGTAGCTGGCGCGCGCTCGCTGTCGACCAGGGGCCCAAGGCAAGCCCAAGGGCATGTCCGCACGCGTGCGTGACATTCAGCGCGGCCCGGCGTCCCCGCGGCAGCCGGCGCCTGTACATGTCTTGAATGTCCGGGACGCCCAGAACAACCGCGACAGTGCCGAATCACCACATGGACGACGTGGCGTTTGAGCACGGATGGTGTGGTGCCGAGCTGGGAATCCTGCAACCTCGAAAGGGATCCGGGACCAAGGGAGGACGTAGTAGTTGAAAAGAGAGAGTACCCAGACCACGTCATCGGGCTGACATGACCAGTGTTGACGATTTGATGTCCATCACGTGCTACAGATCCACGGCACCATCACCGGCTTTCTTCCACCATCCCACAAGCCTCCGAGCTGGACTGCCAGTGCGACGATAGACGGTCCGGCGCACTCCAGAGCTCCTCTGCCTAGTGCGACCTCGCGCGATGATAACCGGTCCGAGGGCCGACGACGGAGTGCTATCCGCTGAATGATGACAACCATTGAACCAATGACAGGCCTCTGACTCGTCGCAAACGCTGTGCAGGCGCTATACTTAACTTGGCATGCATCCCCCACCATCGCTGGCCGCCGTCCCCTCCACGCTCAAGCGCAAGCGCGCCCACCCGCCCCCTGGCGAGTCGCCGCCGGTCGTGAAGGTCGGTCCCGATGGTACGCATCTGAGCTTGACTCACACGCCGCGTCATAGCGCTTACGAACTTACGATTCGAATCGACGGCGCCCCAAGCCCTACCCCTCGCAAGCGGCGCTGCTCGCTGCACTCCGTCGCCGTCTGTCCCGCCCCAACCCAGCATCACATGACACCGAGCAACATCGGCCGGCGCGCCGGTGGTTCTTCGGCAGCCACACCACGGTCTACGGCCCCGCGGACCCCGTCCGAGTCAAGCGGGAGGAGGACGACGACAGTGGCGCCGCATTACTCACTATACAGCAACAGCCACTAATCGTCACACAGGATCGACGCCGTACCGCGGATGACCCACATCACCCTGCGCGAAACACGCTATCCGCCGCCGCGCGCGCGCCGCGACCGTGACACCACGCGACAGCCAGACACTGCTGGTACAGCGCCGTTGCCGCGGAGCCGGATCATCGCCGCGACGGCTTATCTCCCTGCCGAGGCAATGGCGGTCGCGTTGTCCCCAACCTCTCCGGCCCCGCCCAGCGGCCATCCACCTCCCCCTCCTTCGGCCTCGACGGTCTATGTGTATGGCCTGCTGGTGCGGGTAGAGCGGGAATACTCCGCGGGCACAGGCAAGCTGTGGAAGGAGCGGGTGACACTGGGCCTCAGGAATGCAGACTTCCGTGGTGGGACGCAAACTGTGGAGGCTGAACCGGCGACGGCGGCGCCAGCGGACTCGGATGGCGAGCGGGGAAGTGGGCAGGAGCGTATAGCAGCAAATTGTGTGGTATTCTAGCATTAGTTATCATAGGTACTACTAGTAGATAGAGCACTGGAATGCAGAACCACAACTTCATATGTACCTACTTATTGTGTGCTGTTGCTTGCCATTCTACCCATGGGTTGGCGGGTTGAAAAATTCTAATCTATACCCGTACCCGCGCGGGTAAAACCCGTGTACCCACGCGGGTAAGCCTTACCCGTGCCATTGCCTACATTCTTATCAGGCACATGGGGAGGTCGCTGGGAGGTAAAAAAAACTTTTTATCTATGAAAGATTTGAGTCTGATATGGGTGTAGAGATTAGTAGGCAGCAGTGGATTATTACAGCATTAGCAGCATAGAAGGGACTTGGCACTAGAGGACTTGAGAACTTAGAGATGTTGCAGACAAGGGGGTTCAAGATCCTTATCAGGCACATGGGGTAGGGGGGGGGGGGGTCCCCGGGGGGTAAAAAAAACTTTTTGTATATAAAAGATTTGGGCCTTATATGGGTGTAAAGACACTGAAAATATAGTGTATACACTCTCATTTCTATAGTTCACAACCCCCCATACTTATATCTGTATACTTTCATGCCCAAGAGCTTGGATAGCCCACTCTGTTATAGGCCCATCACCAGGTAATTGATAAGAGATGAACATGTTGAAGGGTTCATATGACCTGCCATGTGTGTTTGAAGGCTTCAGGTACATACATACCTACACATATACACATACACATGTATAAATTTTTTTGCAAAAAAAAAAGTTGCACAAAGATTGAATTTTTAATCCTATTTTTGATCGCATCAGTGGTCACATGATGCTGATCGTGAGAATATATTACTATATATGGCAGGAGGGGGGGGGAGGGGGGGTCCCCAGAGGGTCGGAAAAAAACTTTCCGACCCTATATCCGCGATTCGAATGATGAACCCCCCCTTGGTTGCAGACTTAGTAGGGTATTTATTGCAGCATATGACATTGCGGGTTATCCCTTCATAATTAGAATGTGCAGCCCACTGGGCCATTCATTCTAATATCAAAGGATAAGTGGAACTGGTAGGTGTTACCAAAACAATAAATTCATATCTAGAAACTGGGTCCATAGATCAATAAACATGTGTCCCAGGGATGGTGAAGAAACTTTTACTGTACAAAGGTTTAGAAGGTTCTGGCAGGTGTGAGGTTCAGTGATGGACCCATGGCCTCTAGGGCCCTTCCAAGATAGGGCCCTGCATATCAGATAATATTCGCTAGGGCCCTTACATGTTATCTTATCTTAATCAATCAATGACGACACTGTGACCCTGCCATTATTTTGAATTTCCTTTTTGGGATGGTAGGGCCCTATCCATGGCCCTAGATCTTGGGCGATAGGGCCGGTAAGGGCCCTGCATGGTCCGGGGTACCTAAATAGGGCCCCTAGGGCCATCACTGTTGGCTTTTTTAGTACATTTGTAGTATTTTAGCATGGAGCACTAGGTGGGCATATAGTATACTTACTACTTTCCTCAAGGAGATGTCAAGATGCTTATCACAGACATGAGAGTGAGGGTGAAGAAAAACTTTTGCTACATATGTAAAAGTTTTTGGGGCTTCTGGTAGGTTCGAGGTTGGCTGGGTACCACATTTCTAGTATTTTAGCATGTAATACACAGTGAGAATGCCTACTACTTTCCTATGGGAAGGCTTTCAACACCTCACTTAGGGTGCAGTGTAACTACAATATGACTGGTGTTATAAATTTATCATTCCTGCATATAGTTTTGGATGGCCTACTGGTGACTGTAGGAGGGCTCAAATGCCATATATCAACTAGAAGTAATAGTATTTTAAGGAATTTAACAGGAAATATGAATTTTATCTCCACTCTTGATCACATCATCAGGTCACATGATGAGCGATCCTGGGCATATTTTACCCGATATGGTAGGGGAGGGAGGGGGGGTCCCCAGAAGGCCCTTAAAAAACTTTTTGACAGTATATCTGATTTTCGAATAATAACACCCCCTTGACTTTCCTATAGGAATACCAGTGTGACTGTGCTGTGGTGTGACTGGTGTCATAAACATATCATTGTGATCAGAGAAATACAAGGGGGTGTCAAGATGCTTATCACAGATATGGGTTTTTTTTTAGCTGAAACATTTTGCTATTTTACAGGTAACAGCCAATTTTTTTGGTTTCAAACCATCTTACTCAGGAAGATTTCCAAAAATTTCCACATCTGTAGCATACCCCAGTATGAAGATGCTGACAAGATTATATATCTGGAGTATATCCTATGAAATTGCTTAGGGTGCTGCAAAATATTCTGGTTAATTAATATGTTAATACACAGGTGTAAATAAACCATGTAAATAATTGGCTGGACAAGAGTTTAGTTTTAATAAACCACACTTGATCATGTGATTTGGGTATGACAGTGGTAAATTTAGCAACATTGGGCAATATTATGGGTATATACTATCACCAGAGAATTCAGCAAGCATTATAGCCACACTTTGAGGGCTCAGAACACTCCCAGCATATAAAACTAAAATGGAAATTGATGGCAATATTGATTAACATATTAATGAACAGAGTCTGGAGACTGCCAGAAATTATTCACATAAATATATAGGATTGGGAATTACTTACAGCCCCCTAAAATTGCTGCAGGTTGGTGGCCAAAGGGGAGTCCAGTTGTTATTCACATAGTTATAGCCAATTACTTACATGTGTTACTTCTTTAGCTCTTAGAATGACATATCATATATTGAATTTATATTTCCCTAAGGACTATTTCAATCTACAGAGACACTCCTGCAGAATTTTACAATACACAGATGCAATATCCGCATCTACAACTTCTTGCAGTTGTTCATTTCCTATAAGAGCAAATAGTCTTTGTGTATGTCTGCCATATTTTGGCCTCCGATTAGAAGAGGGGATAAAATTACTTCGACAGAAAAGATCGCTAAATAAACTTGCTGAATCAATTTCAGTATCTTTGGAACTTGTAGCAGAGCAAGGTTTTAGAATAGGCACTAGAAGAGTGATAATTCCATCAAGCAGGGCAGATGCATTATTTCTTGCATCTTTAATATGGAGATTGCATGATGGCACTATCAGTTGAAGTAGAAATGTTGCCCAATTTGTCTCAAAGACTTCCCGACTTCCGAGGCAGTTAATCACAGAGAGCATTTCTGGGGTCTGTGCATCTTCACTGTCTGATAGTTAGAGATTGTTAGGCTTTTGCAAGTCTGTACATACGTGCCAGACATAAGTAGATAAGCCATTCGACTGAAAAATGATACCCGCTCTCGATGTTTCTGACTCTTTAGGTGAATCAGCATTGGTAAATGCACTTGGCCACCCAAAACAACACATTTCATCAGACTCCATAGTGCCTGAGATGCAGTTGTACCTTCCTCTATAACCTCTTTCCTGATTTCTTTATCAGATAAATCAATTCTAAAACTGATTGGCAGACATACCAGCTCATTTCAAGAGATGATGACATGTTAAGGGTCATATGTGACATTTTTGGAAATGGTGCAGTATCTTTCATTGTACGACCAGCATACAATCGACAATTTGGTGGGGTAGACCGTTGAAGCAGAGTTTCCACATGTTGTTCTAGAAATTTCGCTTCAATAGTACAAATGACTTGAGGCTGGTATTTTTTGACATGAGCAGTGACTGTATGAATGGATTCCGGAGAAACATCATAAGGCCAATATGCTGCTAGCTGAGACTGCCACAACTCTGAAAGATCAGACTCATTGTTATCTGGGATGCTTGTGCAAGATTGAGCCAAGGAGCAGAAAACAGTGTCCAGTGGATTTGATGAAGTTGGTCCAATAGCACTCAGGCTCTGAGATCCTAGTAGGATAAGAAACTCCAGGAACCCACTAAGGAGGGCAGCTTCACAAGCAGTAGGACCTGTCTTTATTAAGCTTCCAATGAATGAAATCATTGGCACACTAGAATCTATGCAGTTACTCCAGCCATTGACATATTTGTCTGGTGCAGGGTGCAGTAGCATAGTTTTGTATTCAGTAATCAGTTGAGGTTCCAGAAAACTATCTGAAGCTTCAATATTATGTTCAAGTTGGTGAATTCAGAATGAACCATATTTAACTCACCCTGAGTGACAAAATAGACCAACAGATAAAAGCTCAACTAGAAGCAGCACTAGATCATCAAGAAGCCATCTTGACAAGGATGCAATGAGATGAGTTGTCTGATATGATCCTATCTGAGCAAGAACAATCCTCATTGTTGATGTGTGAACACTGCTGTTGTAGAGTCCTGGCCTGTGTACCAGTCAAGAAAAAACCTCTTTTTCAAAACCTCCACAATTATCATACACACCGAGATAATTCCAACATATCTTCAAAAAGAGAGGACCAAAATTCGGGGTGATCACTAATATCCGGATGGTTGTCCCGGCAAGGAAGATTGGCAGCTATAGTCACCAATCTCCGTGAAATGACAATCTTTTCAACACCATGCACTGCAGATTTTCCAAGGGCTAAGATTCCCTTGCCAGCAAGCGCACCTGGTCCCCATCCGGTACTAGTTGAACTGCTTGTATGCAATGAAAGAGACAAGGAGGACAGGGAGGAGGTAAGTGATAGCCCCGAGGCCGAGGGACGCTGAAGAATGCGCCGGAAACGATGGGAGTCAGTGGGAGTCGTCAGAATGAAGACCAAAATCGTTCGCTCCTTTTAAAGATTTGCTGACCGAGGGCACGGAACAGCTAAATGAAGGATGGATATCGACACCTGTCGTAGCTCGGGGCTGAGTGATCAAAACCCGGTGGGTAAATTGGGATGATAGAAGCATGGAAGCACGAAAGCCCGCGTGGATCCCATGATCTGATGTTGAATGATTGATGACCGTGACTGATTAATGCCATCGGCCAAAGATCTGACTCGGAGTTTCGACTATTTGTAGACTTGACTCGTCGAGATTCCAATGGCAACTTCCCAACTTTTGCAGCCGTCCAATCGCACGGTTTCGTCGTCCGCACTGCTATTGGCTGCAGCCAATAATAAATATAGACATGAGATACAAAGATCATTTCGGGCATGAGTCGCATGGGTGTCTGTCCATTCTTGGGCGCCCAGTGGGGCGGCTGGGGCCAACTGACGGCGAAACGCAGAGAAGAAGAAGAAGAGATCACTCTTAAAACACCCAATGCCTCCTTTTCTCCGCCCACCGCGAAGTCAATGGCGGGAGAGTGGGGCGAGAATTGCCTCAGGCCATATTTAGTCCGCAGCCAAAAGAGCGCCTTCGTCATCAATCGAAAACGAGTACATACATCACTTAAAAAGCATCAAAAAGGGAGTAATTCTATCAAGCGCCGTGCACATAATAGGAAGCCACTTGAAGCGCTTCCTCAACAAGCTGGCTTGTGACGCCGCGATTCGCCATGCGCATACCGCTCTTCCCGTAGCTGAACACCCAGCCGAAATCCTTCTGGACACTCGAGTCCGTGCGCCAGGCAGTCAATGCGCGTACGTGGTCCGACTGCATCGGCACACCGAGGAAATGCCTCGCCAGCAGGTGCATCGCGAGCGTGAGCCCGTCCGGCGATGATTGCTTCGGCACGGCGTCGAGCATTGCGCGCACGAGTGGCAATCCCGCCGCAATGAACTGCCTGCCCGCCGCCACATGCACACCTTCCTCCCTCGGATCCGCGTCTGCGCTCCCGCAGCTCCTTGAGTAGCAGGGCCGCAAAGAACGGAAGCGCCGCCGGGGACGGGTAATACCGCGTGCCCGCAAGATTGCCGGTTGCCGCGGCACGGAGCACATCCAGAACATATTCCGTCGTCGGCGCTAAACGCGGCTCGCCGAAACGCCCATGATGCGCAAAGCAGCGGAGGGCGTTGATGCACACGATCGGGTCAGCGGTGGCTGCCCGGCGGGCGGTTTCCGTTGCACAGCTTCGACGTGTTTCTGGATCGAGGCTTGCTGCAGCCGGGAAGTGCACGGGAACAAGACTCGCCGGCTGGGCCGCGGCAAGTGCCAGGACGTTGTCTAAGACGAATCCCGCGGCGTTAGAGTCGACATAGGCAGGGAGAACGCGCAGCGCGTAAGAGGTGGTGTCTACATCGTCGGGGTACACCGCCGTAGTTCCAACAGGTGGGCCTGGATTTGTTCAGTGGTCAGTATTAGCGCGCATGGTGACGAAATATGAATGTACCTATGAAAAAGTTCCATGTGGTTCGCGTTGCCGCGGCCGGAAACAGCGCTTCGATAGCCCGCCTGCCGTGTTCAGATCGATGCATTGAAAATGTCCGCGCACTCACTCAGTATCTTCGTCCCGGCCCAGGCCGTCCCTAGCGAGCCGCGCCAGCGACTCAACGTAGAGCAGCCGCGAGAAGTTGTCTGCCACCCGCAAGCCGGTGTCCGTGATGGATACGAGCCCGTCAGCGACGAGAGGATGGGAGGGCATGGTACTAAGTCAGCGAATGCATGGCAGAATGAGCGCTTTTGAGCAATAGCAGCATAACCGGATGTCCGCTCAGGCTGTTCGATGAACCGCAGGCAGAAGCGCCACAGCGCTAATGGGGAGCAAGGCCGCTAGGGAATTTGTTTGGGAGGCGGTCGATACCTCCGATGTTTATTAGGACAACGGTCATCCGCTTTGAGGTGTGTGGCACTGATAAGTCAGTCAGTATCATTCCCGTACCATTCGGGCCTAGTCTGGTGCACGGTAAGGCGTGAATGAAGGGCACGGTGTGCCACCCTAGCAGAGTCAATTGCGGGGCGGGAGATAGAATGCAAGTGGAGTATAGCCGTACCTGATTAGCATTCGGTTGCCATCCGATGACCACTTTGGAGAACTTGAAAGATCGATGTCGGGCAGTGAATGATGCATGGGACGAGCACCGGTGAACATTTCGAAGATAGGGTTATAAAACTAACATTTCATTAATGCAAGGCTAAGAGGTATATATTGCAATCAGACAAGCGCTTATTCTGAGAAGGAAAAGGCATACCTTCAGAACAGTAAATCCTTCGGTTGTCCACTCGCCTCGAGCTCCCGATCGCTCAAAGGCTCCCAGACCCACTTGTCCTTCTTGAGCCGCATCCTCCCCATCCGCATCACCGCGTCATTTTCGTTCAGCGCCCGCTTGACGAGCCCGTCCGCGACGACCTTCTGGACACGCTCAAACCACTGCGGGTGGTGCTTCCGCTGGGCGTTGATGCGCTCCAGCGTGAGGCCCATGGGGTCGAGCGCGTGCTCTTGGGGGTACGACTCCTGCACCTGGTGGTCCTCGATACGGAAGTACACCCGGAACCACCCGCGGAACCCGGGGCGCCCCGCGAACACACGCTTCATCTGCTCCTCTAGCCCCGCAAATCCCTTGGCCATCAGCGCCGCGCGGTCGGCCGCGTCATCGAACCATTCGTGCGCCAAAAGCGTGTACGCGATCGCGGGGTTCTCTTGGCAGGCCGGGTTGTACTTGAGGTAGATACGTAGGCCGCGGGAATCGTAGGGGAAGCTGTCCATGCCGCCCGCAGTGTGGATCGCAGAGTACCAGGATGACTGGAACGAGCATTCGTGGACCTATAACTGGGGTGAGGCACCATGATGGCCAGAGAAACGGGTACCACGCACCTCAATGAAGTCAGTGAGCAGCCGCTTGCGGATCGCAAATGGCGGAAAGTTGGGAGAGGACGGCACATGCGCCATCGATGCCACAGTGTTCTTTCGCATCTGGCAAAAGCCCCTGCCACCATCGATTAGGCTTGGAGTAAGTACGGGGTACAACATACTTATGCGTGGGCCATGCTTCCTTCTGACACTCTTTCGAGCAGAACGACGCTTCCTCCGCCAAGATGAGTGCATCGCCTGCCCGGACAACGTTTCACACACCTTGCAAGCCGCACAGCGCATGAACGGCCGGCCCTTGGGCGGTTCAATAAGGCAGTTGTTGCAGTGCGTCATCTTGTCGTATGAGTCTCCCTTCGACGCCGTCGTGAACTTCATCTGCATTGCGCGACTCATCGCGCTCGCCACGCGTCGCTCAGGGTCGTGGCGGGAGGGAAGAAAAAGAGCCGGTGCCAATCACGGCATCATCTCGTGATTGCATTGGGTCGTGTGACGCGGAGCATCACGCCATTTCCACTTCTTCAAGTTCTTGCGGACTTTCCAAACGACAACTGCAGGACATTGTCAAGGACCCTATTAGCACTGGCTTATTATGATATTGTTATGCCAAATGCATAATATATCCATATTGGAATAATAATAATGTGAAATATTTTGATATAATTTTATTATAATATATAAGGATCTGTGGAGGTGGAACATAATGGGAAATGGTGAGACCATGTTGTTGCAGAATTATGCAATGGGTAACACATAACAGTCGGCCCCTTTCAGGTCTTATTTGAGAGTAAAACCATATTTTTTTGCATGAAAAACATGAAAAACACCGTACAAATGCTTGAACACAATTACCCCCAAACTGCCTATGAAACAAGCAAAATCAAATCTTCCAGCTTGCCAGTTGACTCCAAACCTTCCTCATTTAAGTGCTGGAGCCATCAATTTCAGCCTTGTCTTGGTCATCACCCTCCTGCTTGGCAAGTATAAGAATGTATTCAAGGGGGCTGCACTGCAGCAGTTGCAGATCCCCTTAGCCAGCATGGGATCCGAGTTGAGGTACTCAAGGAGGGTGTCTTTGCTTTCTGTACCGTAAAGGCATTCTTCCAAGCAGCACTATGGTGAATTAAGAATCTTGTATTTGCAAAGTATGTGTGTGATGATGTAATTAGCAACAGGAAATCTTTCAGATGATCTACCCAACAAATGAGCCAACTGTCTTCTCCCCTGAGGAAGAACTCATAAAGTTGTACGAGATGAAGAATAGTCACATCCCAAGGTGGACCAATGTCCTTTGGTAAATGGATATCAGGTGGAGCAACACAATCAGCAATCTGCTTGCATGCAAGCCCTGCAAGCCACTCCTGGCACATTTGTTTGAGAAAGTGCTGATCCAAATCCCTCTATTAGATTATGTTTACCAAAGGCTTTCTAGTCCCATATCTGTAGTGAATTGTGTTTTTTTGAAAGGTTTAACCACATCACAATATTGATAGTATGTTGAGAGAGAGGTGGGGAGCAGTGGAAGAGATGATAGGAGAGGATGTGGTGATCATCAATGAACTTGGTTTGCTGAATTGCAGGAGTCGTGCCTGGGATAGGTCAAGAGGGTGCTATTCAGCAGCATTAGTGCTGCTTATATCTGAGTCTGGACCAGACTCTTCATTGTCTGAATCTTCTGTTAAGCTGTTAGCCATGGCTCTGAGACCTAGGAGTGGAAAACATGACTATAAATATTTTCTTTGTGAAAAAAAATGCCACATGTTCTTTCTGCTACAAAGAAATAAAATACAAATCTGTATCAAAAAAAATGAATTTTAAATTGAGAATTGAGTTTTCTCTGAAAGAGGTTCCTTCCATACAAGGGAAATATCTTTGAAAAATAATCATCTATTCTGAGGGGAGTTCAAATCTTTGGATATGAAAGGTTCTTTAATGTCTATCATTTATGACCCCCATACTTATATATATATACTTTCAGGCCCATGAGCTGGGATAGCACACCCTGTCACAGGCCGCTAGAAGATTAGAAAAAGACTTTTCAACCCTATATCTGTGATTCAGATCTTGAACCCCCCTTTAATAGGGCTTGGTTTGTAAAGATTTTGAAGGTTATCAAATGGTTTGATAAAATACCTCTGAAACCCAATTTAGAAACCGGTTTTTAGGTTTCATAAACCAACTGAGCCGATGTGACTGGAGAGATCAAAATTGCCTTTAAGGAGATCTTGGTCTTTTAATTTCATGACCTTGAGATTCATGGACAGTAGGGGTTGAAACAGCCAGGATATATCACCTATCACTTGTAAGTTTGCATAACATGGATAAGTTATATATAGCATGTACAATTTACTTCAAGTTATCTTATCAGCAGATCTTAGATCCCCTGTCATGGATCCATTATACAACTTAAAAATCATGATGACCTTGATAATAATTAATCTGTATGGTTAATATAGTATAGTAGTACTTATTAATCATGATCAATATCGCAATAGCAGCCGAAAGTGGGTTCAGATCCTACTTGATAAGAGACAATATATTATGATAGACCTATAAGACATAATCAAGCCTACTAGCAGTATATGAAAGCAATATTAGTGTAAAGTAAGTCTGGTTTGCTAGCTTCTTTCTTGTTTGGGTGCTTACTAATATAAAACCATAAAACAGGGGGTTTCCAGTTAGGCTGTTTATAAACATATAAAATGGAGGGTGTTTATAAACTGTTTACAAACACCCCTATATAAACCAAACCCTACCCCTTGATTCATTCTACTGCAGATGTATGATATTTCTTCTCTATAGAAAGCAGTATTAAAATATTTGTATTAAATTCATCTGTTAATGGGATTCGGGAAAAGAAAGTTTTAAATTTTCCCTGTGATAAAAACAAGGTTGAGGGTGTTTTACATAGGTGAGTGCATAACGGAGTGTCTAAAGTTATTGTAAGATTAGTATAGTATGAGAAACAAGCCCCACAAACTACTGTACGCTCCAAGTGGGACTGCCAAATATTTTTGGCATATCACGGGCTGCGCCACCCAAAAATGGTATTAGATCAGCCAAGGGAATTTGGCGTCTGGGCTGTTGAGTGTGAGCGCCAGAAAAAATTTTAAGGCCGTTGTGACATGTGGCCACCAAATTGAATAAAATGCTACAGTATATCATCTGGGAAAGTTTGACTTTATAACTCCTTGTATGATGCACAGATACCACCTATGTAGACCTGTGGAAACAGTATACAGTATATACACTATACTACCTTTTCACTACCCTGTATATATTACTTTAGGCTTGAATTATTAGTCAAGATGTACTTATATGAATAGATCCCAGCTCATACTAAGGTCAAATCATCACTATGGAATAAAACAAAATCTGACGAATATGATCTCACCGGGAGCCACAGTATTTCTAGCTACAGCGGAATAAATGAATGACAGTGGAGCACTGGCGGCCCGATTGTCGTGTCCTCGGCCACGATCGGATCGAGCACCCTGGGGGGCTGATCGGACGAGATATGCGAGCATCGGCGTGCCAAGAGGATGCGGTCACGAGCGGCCCGGGGGAAGCCGCTGAGTTGCGGTGTCTTCTCCCACCATCTGCGCGCCAAATTTTCTAACGACGACACTGGCAATGGGTTCTTTCCTACAGAAGAGCTGCATACCTGCAACGCCAAGCAGTCCGCGTGGCGCGGGCCCCTGACCCTGACAGCGACAGCTCCTCGACTCGACACACGTGGGGCTCGGGCTCCTGGCTAAATAGCCCAACGAGTGCACTTTTCGATTTCATCATGCTCCTCCTTTTCCTCCCCTCCCTGCTGCTCCTCCGCGCCTCTGCCTCGGTGGTCCCTGCCCCGCAGTCCTCGCCCGTGCCGCCGTCCTACTACACGCCGGCCTTCCGGTGTCCGGCGGGGGCCCACCTTCAGCCCTGTCTCCGAGGACTGGTACAGCATCTCGCCCGCCGACCCCAGCGTCGGGACGCTCTTCTGCGCGGGGCGCAACCCCGCGGACCCCGCCGAGACGCCGGTCTGCACGTTCGCCCTCGCGGACGGCACGAAAGTGTCCGGCGACCGGTGCGCGGACGGCGCGGCGGCCGCGCAGACGCCCGCGACGTACGGCTGCCCGTACATGTGCCCGACGCACGACGCGCACCCCCGTGCCGGCGAGCCGGGCCGCGCTCCGCCGCGTGCAGCGCTACTATGACGGCCGTCCGCTGCGGTGTGCGTATTCTGGGCTGTGCGAGTACAATGTGCGTCAGTGGTGCTACTGGATCGCTGACTCACGCGTTGATAGCCGCTCCCCGGCGCGTGGCTCCCGCCGGCGACGACGCCGGTGTATTGCCCGCTCACCGCGGCGGCGTCTTGTGGGCCGATCAGGAGGCGATATCGGGCGGAGGACAACTTCACGGCTATGCTGAGGCGGAAGGCAGCTGCGGTGAAGAGAGCGACGGGGCCTTGAAGAAGCTATATATAATATTATAACTTACATACATCTAGGTCTAGACCGGGCCCATCGCCCATCAATTAGCTTAGCGGCAGAAATGACTCACTCACTCCTTGTCCGAAACCACCACCAGCACCATGGCATCCCCAGCCTCACCTTCCGCTGCGCTGGTCCGCCCCGCCACCGCAGCCGACATCCCGCACATCACCGCCATCCACAACCACTACATCACCAATACCGTGACGACGTTCCGCACCGAGCCGCTCTCCGAGGCCGAAGTGCAGAGCGCCGTGGCCGCCAGCGCCGCCGCCGGCCTTCCCTTCCTCGTCGCCGCCGCCGCGGACAACGACGCCGCGCACGTGCTCGGCTTCGCGTACGCCGCGGGGTACCGCACGCCCGTCCGGCCCGGGTACCGCCACACCGCGGAGATGACGATCCTGCTCGCGCCCGCCGCCCGGGGCGCGCGGCGTCGGGACGCAGCTGATGCGCGCGTTGATCGCCGATCTGCGCGGCTCTGCCAGTCCTGGCCCGGGGAGCGGAGCCGTGACGGAGCCGGCGGGCGTAAAGCAGCTCCTGGCGGTGATGGCGCTCGACGTGGACGGCCGCGACGCGGGCTGGGGCCTGCGCGACTGGTACATGCGCTTCGGGTTCGTGCAGGCGGGGCACCTGCGCCGGGTCGGCTGGAAGATGGGCCGATGGGTCGACACCGTCATCATGCAGCTGTCGCTGGATGAGGAGGAGGAGAAGGGGCAAGCCGTCGCGAGTGGTTGATTGATCAGATTCTCACCTGGAAACGCGTCATCGTGATAACAATCGAGTGACATCACCCGTGATTTCCGCTTAGCTCTTTTTTTCCTCCCGCCACCATGGGCGAGCCGACCGACGACCGTCGCCGCGATGCACATGCAATTGATGCAAATTATACGTGTCACTTGGACCCTTATGTGGGCACCTACTGCAACAGAACCCGGTCATGCAATGGTAACGGCGGTTGGCAGATGACAGGCCGTGAGACAGGCATTGTGTCAGACCCAACGGCGGTTCCACTGGCGGTCCCACTGGCAGCCACTTACACAAAGAAACAAAGAAAGAATTATCTGTCTACTAGTAAACAATGTGCGATACAATCGCTCCCCATTCCATTGACAGTTGATGGCCTCCACATGCCCATGTTGTCTGGCTTAGAGAGCAGTCTCTCGCATCTCTTACGAAACCGCCCGCTGCCTCTGCTGTGGCAGTACCCCGCCTTCCGCCAAGTACGCATTGGCAGGAGCAGCCAATAGTCAGCCGCAAACCAGCACCAATGCTGTCCCCGCTCGTTGTGCCTGAGCTTCCCGCGACGACAAAGTCCTTCGCGGACCCGAGTTCCACCAGGCTGGCGCACGGGCCATGCATCGCTGCCCGTTGCCGCTCCTCCCGTCCAGCCCAGCCCGGGCCCGGCGCAATCGGCGTCACAGACGACGCGGCAGGCGCCAGAATCACGACCACGTGAATATCTAGCTGACAAAGTCGCCGAGGTGGACGCCAGCAAAGAGCCCGTTGTTTCTCGTGCAGTTTAGGTTTGACTTATGGCGGGTGGGACTGGAAACGCGGCCGGCGCGGCCACAGTTGTTGCCGCAGCGACTGAGATGGACAATGTCGAATGCCCTGCTGCCATTTGTCCAGTTTGGGTTTGAGTTACGGCGGGTGGGACCGGACATGTGGCCGGCGAAGACGTTATGGTGTGCGCCGAACATGCGGTCAGCGACGATGCGAGACCGGAACGGGGGGGGGGGGGCGGCGGGGAAGAGCCGCAGCACCCATATTCGGCGACGTAGCACGCCTCATGGTGGATTACCGCGCGAATGTGTGTTGCTGGGTTCTTGTCCCCGGCGGGCAGGCATTCTACACAGAGTCCTTGTCAGCACATGGTGGATGACATTGAGAAAAGAATAGTACTGCTTGCCAGGGAGCCAGCAGTCCGGTAAGGAGTCGGAGCCAAAGTACGCTCGTGTCGGGATTAGTGGCTGGTTCTCCGCTAGATCTCCCGCAGCAGCGAGGGACATAGAGAACGTTCTGTGCGCACATTTTCGCGCCGACTGCGCAGCTTGACGATCAGGGTGGCGACAAGGGGGGAGAATGAGGAAAGAAGGCGAGAGGGGGGAGGTACCGGCAAGCGGCTGGAGACAACTGCCAAGTTTCAGCGTTTGGAGAAACGCCTTGGGCGCGTTAAACGCTGCGGTTTGGCGCCAAACGGCAAACGATTAGGCGCGGGGTAAGCAGGGGAAGTCGGAAATGGCCTGTGGCGGGCGGGCAGGTACGCATGGGCCGATGACCGCCGTTTGCCTGGTGATGGGAGCGTCTGGATGGCCGAGTAGGACGCCGCGGTTTGGTTGAATTCAGCAAAGAAACACACCCGGGCAATTTTAGCCCCACCCCAGACATTGTGTCAGCCGACGAGCGGCAGCGGGGCCCTGAAAGGGCTCGGTCATCGAGATGTCGGAAGGGGAGGGGCGTCCCGGATGCTCCTCAGAAGATGGAAGGAAATGCCCAGGAATTGACCGCAGGAGAGTGGGGACAATATGTAGTGAGCTGGCTGAAACTGGGTGGTTTTCACCACTCACCTTCCCTCCCCAGCCCTTTCTTCCACCCTCCTAGACATCCCTCCCCACATTCCTGCCGTTCTACGTGTGTGCCATCATCCGAGGGTGGGACATTGCAATGCCATCTGGGGTGGGTGGAAGGATCCGGAGTGGTTGATAAGAGGCATGTGCAACCGGAGAAGAAGGCCGATGGAGCCGATGATTCTCAGTGAGCCACAACTCGGACCGAATTGCATGTAGAGTATGTGTGTGACGCACAAAGTTTGGTCCGAGTCGCAGCTGCATCATGTGTATATAACAATGTTTTTGCTATAAAATACCAGGTCTTTGTTATGACTTGCATAAAGAGTTCAGACAAAGGAAAACTGACCGCCATTGGAACCCCCGTTGGGTCTGCCATGTGGTCTGCCATATGGGCTGTCAATCAGCCTCCCATCTGCCAGCCGCCAGTGCCATTGCGCCCGGTGGGATCAAGTCACATCTTGTGCGGCAAGCGCTGCCGACCGCCAAGCAAGGACCCCAGCCTACCCTGGTACCCTCGGCTATCTTACCGGTGTAGCACGTGATCAGCCACGTCACTACTCCACTCCTCCCATCTCTGCTTCGTGTCAACCCCGGACCGCATTCGGCGGAAGCTCGCCATAGCGCAGCCACTCTGAAAAATGCTCAAGTCGACCCAAGACCTCAGCTCCGCGGCTGCGAGTCGCCGTTACATAGCAACAGCTCGTTGGACTCAAAAACGATGCATCTGCAAGGCGGTAAGCAACACCATGGAGAGCGCGTAGTGCTGGGACTGACCTCGACAGTCTTGCCGATAACAGGCTGGGAATACGCCATATCGCAAGGGCCTAAGCATGCAATCGGCGAACTTCATTGCCAACGCATCGCCCGGCAGAGTTTCGATTGCGAGCGCATTGCCTGGCCGAATTCCAGCCAGGAAAGCTCGGTCAGCAGTGGCGGAAGCAAGATCAATCCTTCGCAACCAAAGAGCAAGGAGTGGCTTGGCCGAATCAAGGCGTTCTGAGTCATTCTCGACGTTGTAAGCAACCATTTCAAGAGCGAGAAAGACTGGAACTTACCCCAGTAGTTCAGCGAACACAAGGCTGCAACTTAAAATGCGCCATTGAATGTGGTCCCAAGCGCGCCATGCTTGGCCCATCATAGATGCGTCACCTGGGCGAATCCCGGGCAGGAACCTCCAAAACCCCGTCAGTAATGCCCAAAGCTAGACGAATATTTCCACTCCGCAACTAGTCCGCTTCTTGGGCACACTCGGCACTCGCCAATCCGCACTTCAAGACTCAGTCAAAGTTAAAACACAGTCTATTGGTTACAAGTCCAGTCCTCATCTACGTGTACGCTACCCAAACACAAACTGCAGCTCCCGCTCCATCTCCCGCACGAGATCGTGCCGCTTCTTCACCGGCATCGAAGCGCGCTTCGCATCGACATCCATTCCGAGCCAATTGTGCCGCGCCGCGTGCGGGTAGGACGGCGGCCGACTTTCGGTGGCCGACATGTCAGTGACTATGGACGGTGCGCGGGAGGACAACACTGTCCCTGCTATCAGTACGGCGTCCTCGTCCCCGGGGGCCGCATTCCACTCCGAATCCGGGCGGCGGCGGCTACGCGGCCGGCGAATGCGCCACTGCAAGCACGCGGCGGCGACAAGCAGGAGGATGACGGCCACCATTGAGCCGAAGACAATGGCGATAAGCACGCCTCTGGGGAACTGCGTCGCACTAGATGCAATCAGCGTCACTAATGATCGTCATTCGGCGCGACAACACACCTTGCGGTGCCCTCACGCGGGGCGTTTAATGGTGTGGCCTGGGCAAAGGAAGTACTAAATATCAGTGAGTCCATCGTCAAAGATGGCTTATGATCACGCGCCTCGATCTCGCTGTCGAGACGGTCGATGGGAATGCCGCTTCACTGGGCGTACTAGCCGACCTGCGAAACGCGGACTCGCTGTGTGCTGTGTACACAATCGTCGATTTCGACAAGGCGGCCGAAACTATGCGGGAGCTGGTAGCAGGCGTAGCCGTCGTAATTGTGAGTGATTGTAGTGCCTCTGCAGTCTCTACTATCTCCGTCTGAGCAGATTGAGAATGCACAGTGAAACTTTGAGGTGCGGCGGCGGCGGGGGCGCCAACTGGCGGTGAGAATTGCGGCGCCGTCGACGATGTGCCTGACTCTTTTGCAGAGGATGAGCGATTCAAGTTGTTGGCTGTAGACCTAGAGTTGGACGCAGCGGGTGGCAGACTGGTGAGGGACTCGGAGAGTGTGGCCTGCGTGGCAGATGGTGACTGGACGGACGCCAGGGTCGTCACAATTGCAGCGGTGCTGGAAGGACCAGCTATCTCCGGTGGGAGTGTGGTCACGGGTCTGCTGCATAGAGTCAGCGACTGGAGGGATGCTAGTGGATGCACATATCTCACATCGACGAATAGCCCGAGTCAGAGGACACTGGGGAGGCCGACGCTGTCGGGTGGGCATCCGCGGTCGAGCTGAGTGAGTGGCCGGCCACCATCGAACTTAGAGGAGGGTGCATGCAAGCGTGTCGCAGACATGAGTCGATGCATAGCAGTGCAGCGCTAGCGCCGGGCCGACAGGTGCAGAGGTCCATCAGGAAGCGAATGCTCTCGGCCTCTGGTAGTGGGGCGAAGATTGTGTGAAGGGAAAGAGTGTGGATGTTCAGGTATTTCTATACTACTCAACGTATATAGCCACAAGTGCTCGTCAGTATGCATCCAAGTTTGATGCCCCGGAGCAATTTATCATGCGCGGAATTCAGGATCTTCGTAGGAATCGTTGATCGACACAGCCGGGTAACCTCATCTCGGAGTGGATTAACTACTATGAACTTCGGAGAACTCTATCATGATTGACTAGACCGGGCTGGGCCGAAGTGGGGGTTCCCCTGACAGGAGCTGCAAGATGGTTATGACCGTGGGAAAGGGTGGAGGGCCTGTTAAGCGGCAAGAGCTTGTTGGGTAGCCAGTAAGTATGACCTGTAGAGCGTAGATCATTAATATACACTCAATTTTGGGCCCTTATGCGCTGAAAATAAGAAATTCCAACTCAGTTGATAGGATCAAAGTCAGCAACAAATGAGCTGAGCTCCCCTTCCCACAAACCATTCCGCTGTC